GATGATGATGATGATGATGATGATGATGATGATGATGATGATGATGATGATGAAACTGGCAATGGCCACAGGTGTGGAGGACCGTAAAATGAGCACACAAGGAGAAACAAAGACTTTGTGAAACTTTCGTTTGCTGTGGGGGCGTAGTTCTACCATGTCATTGCAGTTTGTTTAAATACTCATGCCCTACGTTTTCTGCAATTAAAAAAAAGGTTCCCGTTGTTTTGTGATTTTTGAAAGAAAGCTGTCGTATAACTTTTATTGATCTGAAGAATGTCTTAACAACAGATCCACAAGATTTGGCAATATGTAAACGTTGCTATTTTGTATGTATTTTTTTAAGCATCAAAAAGTAATCTGAGTATTTAGATCAACAGTAAAAGTGAATAGCATTTCCCTTCCTTGTTTATCATAGCTCTGTATATGCCCATACGAAAACGTTAACTTAGAGTGTTCGATTTATTTATGTGGTATTCTCATTTTCAACGACTTAAAAATGGAAATGATGACTTCCTATTGTAACTAAATATATCTCTTGGGGAATTAGAAAATGTTTATGTAAATCTCAAAGATGCAAGATATAAAACAAGTTTGGTTCTCGAAGAAGAGCAAAGTAAGTCAGATCAGTTACTTCAATCATCCTCCAGCTAACCCCGGATACATTCTGTCCAAAGGGCTGCAATGTAATAGCTTTGGCAAGAAGGAAATGAGTACATAAACGAGCAAGTGTCATTCAGTTTCTCAGAACACGACGTATGTTACATACAATAAAGGATCTAGGCAGTTGTAGCTCCATCGAAGCTTAAAATGCATTCAATGCACATCGGATTTACTTCAATGTTTAAAATGCATTCAATGCACATCAAATTTACATGAAAGCTTAAAATGCAATCAACGCATATCTTACACGATCAAGACGCAAAGACACAAACACACGACACAGCACAGGTTTCAAGTATCCCTACGAGTGTTCGAGTATCGGCTACTTGGTTGTTGTTGTTGTTGTTGTTGTTGTTTGTTGTTTTTCCTTGGGGAGCAGACTGAGCAGTGAGTCGCAGTGGTCGACACGTCCATAGCTGCCCGTCCTTTCTCAGTTGCGGCGCCCGTCATGAGGTAAAAAAACAAACCTTCCACCTTTCGTCCGTTTTTATGTTACAATTTCTTCTTCACACTTAAATCGTCACTCACGGCGGAGACTAGAATCCCCAATAGAAACACGTGTCATCGTCTAATGAGCACACTGACGTCATCAAGACCTACTACAGTCTGGTGATTGGGAACACATTCTGTCTGTCGCGTCCTTCCTTCGATGCAAAGGCCAGTTCAGAGAGGTATTGGCATCAGGCGTCCCATCTCACTGTTAGCATATTGTCTTGTTTAGCCAACTTCATCGTCCCTGAGTATGAAGAGGGTTCGTATCTACAGTTTCGTGTGCCGTCAGAACTCACAACAGAATACACAGACACACACACAAAATACACGCGCCAATGAACAGGCCCATTTGTGTGACTTAATATAAAGCAAAGGACACCTCTTGTTTTCTAGCCAGCCTCAGAAGATAGGTTTTCAAGAGGCGATGTAATAGTCTTCATTTGTTGCTACATTCACAGACTTGAGAAATAATGATGGTGATGATGATAATAATAATAGATCTAATAAAAAAAATAATAATAATAACAACAA